TATAATGATATATTAACACTTTCCCCCCTTGCTGTATTTTTTTCACTTTTTCGTTAAACCACTTTTATGTATTTTTTCCTTCTTTTTGCAATAAAAATTCAGATAGATAGATAGATAGATAGATAGATAGATAGATAGATAGATAGATAGATAGATATCAGATCCAATGACTGAAATATTAAGTGAAGAAATTTGGCATGATTAAAAGAACTCACAGCTCAAGTCTCTAGAGAGCTCTTATATCATTGGCTGACATCCCCCCAAACAAGACTTTTCTGTGGAGGAAGCTGACACATACAGATGTAAGTCACTGAATGATGAAACACCAAGTAGTTTATATTTTATGTATGAGTCATTGTACTCAGAAATAAATTCATCACCGGTCTGCTTTCCTTCCTAGCCATATTGTTGAGTTTTTACCTAATCTTAGCTTTCAAGATCGCAGGCGGCCCTGCATTCCTGTCTTGGCTGTGTGTTCTGAATTGCGGATTCCACACTTTCCTTCGAATTCTGAATCCGGTGTTGTGTCCTGTGTCTCTTGAGGGTTTTCTGTAAAACATCTCCTTTAACACAAACCCTCCAGGGTGTTATCTGAGTAGCAGGTTGCTCAGCAGATGCTGAAGGAATTGTTTATAACTTGGAGTGGAGCTGGTAGGAACATTCCTAAGGGAGTATCACCATCTGTTTTGAGAGAAAACCTAAGCAATAATTCTTCCTATCATTTTTCTTTTTTCTTTGCTTGCACGTATTCCTTACAAAATAGGTGCAGAGTTTTAACCATCCAAGGTGCAAGACTACATACAGACAGAATAAAAGGCTGGTTTTCAATGGTTCTTGAAATAATGAAATCATTACTATGGTCTCTTGATTTGTTTTTTAAGTCGCTGCTGTGAAGAAAAACTAAGGAGTTATTTCCCTATGAAAACTAAACAACTAAGTACTGATTATTATGTTTTTTTAGCCACCACAAATTCTGTTTAACTCTGATAAGGTGAATATATTCCCATTAATCAGTCCTCTGATCAGCGGAAGAAAATCGTATGAATATTCTTACTTTTAATAGCTTGATAGCAAAAATAATTTGTTATGCATTTCTTAAACATTTCAAGACCATGGAATAACAGACTTTTTCAAAAATGAGAAATACAGTTCTTTTGAAAAGGGAAGCAAATAAAAGGAATACTGAATAATCTTTTCATAATATACTTTTTTTTTTTATTTGGTACATTATAAAATAATGGGATATATGAGCTTGTAC